ATATATTATTTATTATAATATAACGTTTGTTTAAATCTACTGTAAAAAACATACATTCGAAATGTTGTCATGTCATGATACTCAAATTTTTTTGAAAATTTTTGAGTTCAAGTAGAAAATTTTCCTTTCTTTAATATTGAGATTCTTATTTTTCTTAACATAATATATATTTACATTTTAAGCTGTTATTGTTTTATTATATTGTAAAATAACTTATTTAATTTATGTATATTAATAAAAAAATATTTGAAACTGAAGAAAACTGAATTTCTGTCGACTACAGCCCCTAAACGTATGCAATTTTTCTAAACCAGCTTTTTTTTTTAATGCGATTTAAAATATTTTAATGAATTTTAATATTTTTTTCTTTATGAATTTAATGAAGGACTTTAAGTGAAATAAATTTAGTGTTCTTCATTCATATAATCTTATTACGCTACTAAAATTCCACATAAATAAATACAATAAATTTGTAAAATCTACGCATATTTTTATGATCTAATAATAATTTTTTATTGTACACTCACAGCTGGACAAGTAAATAAAATATAAAAATATGTGCATAAGGACATTGAAAGTTTATAATAAAACAAAAAATAATTATTCATACATTCATATAGATATAGGAAATAAGAATAAGAAGAGCATAATTCAAATCGCAACAGAATTTGAAATGGCGTACTTTAGCAATAGTAAAAAATATTACGAGTTAGCGTCTGCAAATATAATTTGCAAGAGAAATGTAAGACCAGCTTTATGAAAAATTAGGCGACTATATAAATGGATTCTGTTGTTTATGCTAATTTATTATTCTTATAATTGCACGTTCAGTCTGATTCATAGAGGAAGTTGCTTTAGAAAAAATGTCGATCCGGTGTTCAAGGGTCTTATCAATCCGGTGGCGTCTGTTTGAGATTTATTGTATTTATTCATGTAGAAGGATTTTTATTATAGGTGGATGCTGAATGTGTTATGGCTTCTTATTGCTTTTACGGTAAATGTCAGAGTTTACAGGTACCATTTCCTTTTCTTACAAGCAAACTAATTAACTACCAGGTTTTGCAAATAGTTTTTTCGATTCTGGACCCTGTTAATATACTTTACATATTTTTAAGAAAAGAATTTTATATTCTTTTTAATCGTTTGATTCCAAATTTGTTTTACATTTTCAGTGTTAAGCTTTAAAAATACAGACGATTTTAATCTTTTCTACATTATTTACAATGTCCAATATACCAAGGAAATTATGTAAATTTTTATTTTTATGTTAAGCTATATACCAATAAAACAAAATGGTTTTTAAATTTCTTGCCAGAGCATAATATTTACATTGAATTGGAATAAAGTCAAAATTTTTAAAAAATTTCACGGTCATTTAACCATAAGATGAAACAAAAAACAAAAAAAAAAATTATGGACTAGAAAAAAAGCATAAAAATATTCCATTAAGGATAAAAGCGAACAGAAAGACTAATCAAAAATATCTTTTTTAATAAAATATTTATTAGTCATTCATTTCATATAAAAAAACAAATAGAAACAAAATTATATGAGAAAAAAGAAATTTTGGTTTATTTTTAATTTAAAAAAGAAAACATTATACACACACACACTCGTACAATAAACACGAATAGCAAGGACGTGCACATTGTATATATTTTTGTACATAATAATTATTTATTTATAAAACATTTTCATTTCAATAAACACTCATATACACATACATATACATACATAACGAATAGCAATTCAAATTCATATTTTAATGAATTAAATGCTCAAAATATTTATACAATGAATTTATGTTCAAAATGTTAATTGAGCTGAAAATGAAAATTGTAAGAATTAAATTGAAAAATAAAAAAAAACACATTTTTTGAATATATTAAAAGTACATTTATAAAGCACATTACAAATTGAATTACTCACGGAATGATTGTCTTATTATTATTGTGAATGACATTACAGGTACTTAAATTGCACATCTTTTCTTGAATTTCTCTCGCTTTATACATTTTTAATCCAAAAATTATGAATATTTATCTAAGTGAAGACAAAAGTGAATTATAATTTAAATTTTTTTCAAAAGGAATGAATAACCTTAAATATATGAATTTAGAGGTAACGCGGTTTTTATTCAATATATGTAGCTCCCGTATTTTAAAAGTAATTTTAATTATATTTAAGAAAATTATAAAGAATTATTATGACGTTTCTTGTGTATTGTGAATATGGCAAAATTTGTCAAAGAAACTTAATCAATATGTCATATTATGGTAATAAAAATTTAGCATTTCCTCGATTTGAGGTACAATAACAGTATTAAATTCACATGTAGTTTAAAACACAATAATGATTAATTTGTTATTTTGAAGCAATAGAGTTTAGCCTGTCCACTCATGTTTATATAACATTGCACTATCGGTAGGAACGCGTTGTAAAAATTAAAATAAGAATTTAATTTTTAAAATAATTTAAGTAATTTAGAAATTTATATAAAAAATTTGAATTTCGTTTATCAAAGGCACAATTAAAAAGACATTCACGGATTGCTCCTTATAATCTTTTACTTAAAACAATGATAAAAAAAAATAATTGTCATTTTCAATTTATGTCAATAGTATAATGTAGCGTAAAATACGGCAACAACATTTGATGATTTTGTATATAAAATAATAGAAGAAAATGGAAAAAAAATTTTGAAAAGAGTGAACAGGAGATTATGTTATTGCTGCTATTACTCTCAGGTCATCTTCTATTTTGAGGTCGCAGCTATATTATTTTCGATGAGAGCTGCGACTTCCATTTTTTTTAAATTAAGTTTAAAGGCTGCTAATCCTTTTCAATCTTTTGAAAATTTTTTTACATTAAAATATTCGATAATTAATATTTTATTGTTTCCGTCGCAATTTATGCAATTTTTACGATAATATCTAACTCAATACTTTTTATTTAAAAATTGTTTATTTTTATCAATAAATTATAATTTATTGATATTAATAAATTGTTTATGAATAATTTTTAAAGTCATTGCTTGTCTATAACTAGATAAAAAATTATTTAAATTCAGTTTATTGGCTATGTCTATTGATCGTGAATTGATTACAATAAAATATTTAAAAAAAAAAAAAAAATATTAAAATTTGGCTAAAACATAAATTATTTTTAAAATTAAATTAAATAACAACTTTCAATTTTATATTTAACAATTTTGCCCACTTTCACGCCCATATCCTGTACATTATTAAAAACTTCATGTTTTTTAACAAAACATTTGTTAATTAATTATATTTTTTCAATTGTCTCTATATCAAGCAAATATTCACCTCTTTAACAAACCCGATACAGTTGATGTAGCATTTAAATTGTTTTTTTTTCATATTTAATTCAAAAATTCTTATATAAATAAACAAATTTCAATTTCAAAAAAAGAAAGAAAAAAACCCCACACACATGTTACTATTTATAAATATTTTATTAATAAATTGATATTGATTATCAATGATATCACTTAAAAACAAAGGTAAATGAAATCACAAAAAAAATAATATGGGCGTTAAAAAAAACCGCGCTCTCTACCAAAACTACTCTTTTCATACAAAAAGGAAAAAATGTAATTTTTACAATAGGGAAAATGTACAGATGGTATTGAATAACAATAAAATTACAAGCAAAATACAAAAAATAAAAGTTTTTAAAAATAAATATTTGTTTTCGAATTTTTGCGAAATATCAATATTTGTGATATCCTGAAAGAAATAAAGTAAACAATAAGGAAAAATAAATCCTATAGTGATAAAACAGGATAACCATAGAATAAGTTTTATTATAGAAAATTTTTAAATTTTTTATGTATTAGGTAATTTTGCTGAAAATTTTTGGTATTTACCCCGTTTTGGGAAAATTGAAATTTATTTCAAAAAAGAAATATTTTGTATAAAGTAAAACATTTCACAGCAAAATTTCAAACAGCAATAGCGTTTGAAAAGTCATAAGAGGAGATCAAAAATAAAAATGATGTCTCATTAAAATTATTATTTTATTATCATGTCTTGTATTTAGTAAGAATCACAAATTATTTGGAGCTGCTTATTTTTTTCTCGAAAAAATGTCTCTCCATCTCAGAAATAACTGAAAATTTAACTAATGAGAAATGCTAACCAAATTTTTATAAAATATTTAGAGCTGTGACAGCTATTCAATTTGGATTTAATCGAAATTCTGGGTTATACACAACCCCAAAAAGAATATATTCATATCTTTAAGACCATAAATCGTAATGGTATTCAAATTTCCCAAAAGGAATCTGCTTATGAGTAAAATTTGGTTGTTATTGCATAAATTATTACAATAACTGTTATAAAATTCTAATTTGGCCATTTATCCGAAAATGAAAGGCCATAAAATTTTCAAATGTGGCAATAACGAATCTGACAATAGGGATAATACATCTCAACAAAAATTGGTGACGATTACAATACAAAATTGAAAACAGTTTGGACGGTATTTTAAAAGCCATTGCAAGTACACGATCAAATTGAACAGAAGGGTCATCGTTTTAAGGAGCAATTCAATAGCTGTTCAATGAATTCTCCTATAGGATGTAATTATAACTGAAAAGACTTTCGTAGGAGCATCATAGAGTTGAAATAGTCAACTGGTATCATTTTTACTGTTATTCATAACTTTGAAGGCAAATACCTATAAGTTAAATATTTGAAGCCTATTTCAAAAAAAAATTTCCTTACAGCATGACGAAAATTGAAGTGAAAAAGAGAAAGTTTTTCCTTTCAGTTTCATTTTAAGTTTTTTTTTTACATTTCCTTTTTGTGATTTTTTCTGTAATACGATTTTGTTGAAGAGCTTTTTAAAAGAGCTTACCTGAATTAACTTCGATTACCCTCAACTAGCTACCATTAAAAAATTGTTTAAGCACATCAACAAGAAATCGTTACGTAAAAATTATACAATAATTTTTCTCTTTTCTGTTTTCTTTTCAGATACGAAAAATACTTGTATGTTTAAAAACCAAGGACAACTTTTAAATATGCTTGACTTTGAGTGAAAAAGTGAATACAAAAAAACCATAGAAAAACTGCAAGCAAAGAAAAATGAAGTGAAAAAATTTTTGAATCGTTAAAAATTCACAAAAAAAAAACAAACAAACAAAAAGCTAAGGAAAGGCTTTTTGTTTAACTTTCATCTTAACTTTTATAACGTTACTTACGCTATTTCTGAAATTTTTTTTACTTTTTTTTGTTATTTTTTTAATTACTACTTAGTCAATTTAGTTAAATTGTTGTTATAGAAATTTTTTATTTTCAAATTAATTAAAGTTTTATTAAATATTAATGATATTTAAATTTAGTTAATATTAAAAAAAGAAAGAAAATTGTAAATTTTTAAAAAAATTTCAAATTTTAATTTAAAATTCAAGTGATATGCATCTACATTTTGAACGGAACGTAAACACAAAATGCGACTGTTCAATATTATCTTTATCATGGATGGGAAAGGTCCCTGACGATATACCAGAGGTAAGGTTTTATCATTTAAAATTTTTATTTACTAAAAAATCAATTATACAATCATGTCCTGAACCATTTAAAAAGCGCTTATTTGGAATTTGGGACTAATTACGATTCATATGAACATGTTAAAAGCTTCTGGAGGAAAACCTTAAATTTTTCTAGAACAAAAAATATTTTATAAATTCCATAATTTTTTCCTAATCCCTTAATATTTTTCTAGAAAATCAACTGATTTCTTAATGTTAATAGAGTTTCAATTAATATTGCAAGATCGCAATCAATATTCCTTCTTATCATGAAATAAATTTTAATTAATTTAAAAATAAATTAAGTAAAAGACAGCAGCGATTTCTTTTATGCTTAAACAAAAAATATTTATTTCAAAAATTCTTTATTGAATTTTATATTTAATTTTTTAATCTTTTAATAAACTTTTTCTAAATCACATGATTTAAATATTCTTGAACCATATTTTTTACGTCCAAATGATCGACCATCGATTTTTTCTGGAGTTGTTGTTGTTGTTGTTGTAATTTTTGTTTCATTATCCTTTTTTACTGGCAGTCCATAAATGGTCATATTTACTTTTGATGATGTTACATTTAAGAAGATAATTTGAGTTTTTGATACATTATCGTCATAATTATGAACGATTTTATTAAAATTCTAAAAATAATTTATTAAAAATTTATTTTAATATTTTAATTAACTTTGAAATTGAATAAACATTTATATAAAGAAATATAAAATATAATATGCGTGTATATTAGAATCCAGATAATTTTAACTATTTCGAGTTAATAATTTTTTTAATCTCATCTAATAATATTATGCACGGATCTCGAAGTCTAGATAAAGCTTTTATTAAAATATTACCGGAGTTACTGTTCATTTTACAAAATGAGTTCACACGTCTGAATGTCAATTTCAAAATTTATGGATTGGAATAAAAGGAATTTCCATTGGATATTGTACCACTATACGAGTATATAGATAAGTTAAAAAAATTATTTATCAAGACGCCCAATTAAAACATTGTTTATTTAAGTTAAGTTATGGATGCAACACTGGATAAGTGCCCGGCTTTTAATATTTTCTATTGTTCAAAGAAACATAGTTCGCAATTTAAATATTTGCATAACAAAGGAAATAAACTCTTTTGGAGAGACAAAATAGCACCAATTTATTTTGCACTACCTCCAATCCAATAACTTTCCTATAATTTGAAAATTAATATAAATATGCTTGATTTATCAAATTAAAGTACAGTTTATTAGGAATATTTCAAAGTTGAAAAAAGATTTTGACTTAGAAGTCATGGCATTCCGGCTTTGGAATCGAACCAATTATTTCAAAGTTCATCTGTCTTACATATCAACGAAGTTGCAACAAAATCACAAAAAATGCAAAATCAAAATCTAAAAGTCTTGAACAGTAGTATCCCGAAATTAATTAAGCTTTGAACATTAGCTGCAACATGAAAAATTGTATCAACTCATAAGGTTGAACTTAATTCTATATAATTGATCATTTTGATATACAAGAAATGTGCTGCTTTCGATATCCAATTATCTGAATTCTACTGTAATTGTTTATTAAATTTGAATTGTACAATTTTCGAATATGAGTTTTGTTGTTTGCATTTATTTAAAATAAATACAAAATTTAAAATAAAATATGTAATTACATTCCCTATAGATAAAATTTTAAAATAAAATGGTGATTTTTAATAGTTAATTAATTATTTGATTGTCAATAAAGTGAAATGGAATTAAAATATGATTGCATAAAATAAACATAAAATTTTAAATTAGAAAAAATCACAAAATCAATTAAAATTTCTAATTTGTTTTCAAATCAATCAATTTTCAATTTCATTCAATATTTAAATTGCAATCAAATTGGATTTAAATTCAAACGAATATTCCCTTGATAATTTTAATTATTAAAATTTTTAATATGGTTTCTATTTTAAGCTGACAAAAATAAATCTTTTATTTGATATTTAAAAATCAATTAAGAAAAATTTAATGAGAATTTCCAAATTTTAAATTAATTTTTTAAATTTCGAATAAAATTTTCATGAAATTTTCTATCATAATTTTTAATAAAGTTGAACAAATTCAATATAAGAACAAATTTAACACGTACATTACGTATTTCTTTGGTTAAAGAAAATAAAAACCACCTACGTGTACAAAATCCAATTATCTAAATTATTTATAAAAATATATGTACTTACGTCTGATAGAGATAAGTTAGCAAAAGTGAAATAAAAATCCTCATAATCAAAATGTGTTATATATGATAATTCCTTAAATGAATCAGTTTCACGATAATCAACAACAATTAATTCATCACCTTCTGCTCTTTTACCAAAACCAATCCAAGACATTTTATAATTTTTTGATTCTTTCATATTAGCCATTACAGCAAATAGAATCACAATCGTAACAATATAGAATTTCATTATTTTAATTAAATAATTTTTTCGTAAGAGAAATGTTATTTCTTAAAAATCGTTCGAAATACTGCAAAGAATTTCAAAAGAAATATAAAATATATATAAATAAATAATTGTAACTTTATACTAGAAAATTCCAATTAAATGACGTTTTCACTTTGAAAATTTTTAATTTCTCTTCTGAAAATTTTGATGTACAAAGACGTGATTGTTATCATAAAGATTTTAATATCTTAATTTTGATAAAATATGAAGATAGAGTCAATAACTATTTTTAGAGTAATCAATTTTTATTGGATTTTTTCTGTTTTTCTAGCATTTTTACCGACCGTATTGTGTAAACAATAGGTAGGTTATGTGATGGCAACAAATTTTGCATATCGAGTTTTCGGTGGGAACGTACTTCTCCATAGTAGGGAAGTGTAAATAAACTATTTTTAGCAACCTGTCGGTCTGTCGGTCTGTCGGTCTGTCGGTCTGTCCGTCTGTCGGTCTGTGTGTGCACGCGTGTATCTCAAGTTCGGCTGAACCGATTTTGATGAAATTTTATATGTAAGTTTGTTTCCACCATGGCACGGATCGATCAACTTTTGGTATATATCAGGCCTCGGGAAATGCACTTTTTAGCGGGCCTGTTTTACATTTTTGAACATTTTGAAGAAAATATTCAACCGATTTACTTGAAATTTTATATATAAGCTCAGCTCGCCCGTCCGCGAAAATTCGTATGTTTTGGAAGAAATCAGGTATCGGCAACTAGACGTTTACTATGGGCCAAATACCACATTTTTGTGTATATAAATAGAAATAATCAACCGATTTCATTGAAATTTAATATATGAACTCCTCGTATTAAAACAATGAACATATAAATTTTTTGGAAAGATCAGGGCTCGAACACGGATTTGCGGGCCGATTTTACATTTTTCACCATTTTGAAGAAAGTATTCAACCGATTTACTTGAAATTTCATACATAAGCTTTGCTCGATCTTACGCAAAAATTCCTAACTTTTGGAAGAAATCAGGCATCAGCAACTGGGCGTTTACTACGGGCCAAATATACATTTTTGTGTATATAAAGAGAAATAATCAACCGATTTCATTGAAATTTAATATATGAATTCCCCGTATTAAAACAATGAACATGTAAATTTTTTGGAAAGATCAGGCATCGGCAACTAGACGTTTACTACGAGCCAAACATACACTTTTGTGTATATAACGAGAAATAATCAACCGATTTCATTGAAATTTAATATATGAATTCCTCATATTAAAGCAATGAACATATAACTTTTTTGGAAAGATCAGGGCTCGAGAACTGATTTGCGGGCCGATTTTACATTTTTCACCATATCCACAGAACAAATTGATACAATTTTTTGAAATTTGATATTTGAGTTCTGGTTGTTACCGAAACTAACTGGCGAGCATTTCAGGGAATTCGGGTAGCACAAAGCGAAACTCTACTAAGAGCCAAATTTACATGTTTCTAAGTATGTTAACTATAAGCTTACTAATGTCCTAAAAATTGTAAAGAAGTATTTAACATTCATTTTTATAATATTCTGTAACACTTTCATTTAACTAGACAATACACAATGCGGTCGGTTATGTGCTGACCACATCAGATTTTATTTTTTATTTAGTCGAAATTATTTTAGAATGATGAAGCATATGTGTTTCGTATGCGATTCACAATAATTTGAAACAAAGAAATTGGGAACAAAATAGAGTTAGGAAAAGAGTTTTAAGCAAATTTTTACTTATTATCGGCTTTATATATTAATTTTTGAAATTAGTTTTCAGAATTAGGTGGAAACTTTCAGAGAAATAACTCACGCCCTCTAATGCCTAATTTTACAATAATATTATTCTAAAATGAACAAAACTTAACATAAAGTGTTTACATATTGCATTTGGAATATAAGTAAAACCTATACGATTTGAATGTTTACTAGCCAGCTGTATGCGATATAAATTGGAACGTTTAAATTCGAAGTTATTCAATATAATTAGGAGTACACTGAAGAAAAATTGCTCAATGGTTTTCATTCTATTACAAAATAAAGGAATTCGACATTTTGTAAATATGTATATGGCGAAAAATGTTGGCAAATGTTGAAATTAAAATGAAATTTTTTAACTGTGATATTGCCAAATTTAAATGTCCTTAAAAATTAAAATTGAAAATATCTAAAATATGATTCGAATGTTGTTTCACAAAGCGCTTCACCAAATTAATACTGTAATTTTTTTAAATCGCATATTATTGCATTCCTGTATGCAAACATATGCAATAAAATAAGAACCTTTTGTAAAATAATCTTTAATTTAGGCAAACTTATAATAAACTATTTATAATTTTTTGTATCTGTATATTATGACTTAGAAGGGTACTTAACATGCTTAAAACATTCATTTTTATTTTTTTAAGAAAATCTTAAATAGTAATTTTACTTAAGAATCCTTTTTTCTTATTAAATTAGTAATACAAGTGATTCAGTTCAAATGTTAAATTTCTTTATAAAAGAATCTTA